TTCCTGCGCGTGTCTGTGTGTGTATGTGCGTTTGTGTGTGTGTGTGTGTGTGTGTGTGTGTGTGTGTTCGTTTGTGTGTGTGTTCGTTTGTGTGTGTGTTCGTTTGTGTGTGTGTATTTGTTTGCGTGAGGGTGTGTTACTAGATAGATTGAAGCCCATAACCTTACAAGATACTCTATGTCCCTTTGTCTTTCCTATAATTGAGCAATTCACAACCCGCAGTGGCATGCAGCAACACGTAGTGGAATCGCCAGTATGTAGGCGAAGCTAGACGGATCGCCTAGAGGCGAAGAGATACGCCTTAACCTAGGCGATCATATGACCGTCTAGGCCTTAACCAATGTAGGCCTATAGTATTACTGTGTGAGTGTGTGTGTGTGTGTGTGTGTGTGTGTGTGTGTGTGTGTGTCTTTGCGTAGTTATGTAGACAAAAGTATATTTGCACACTCACGTTATGTAGACATGCCCCGTTATGTAGACGTCCACATAATGTTTTAAGGTCACCATCGCATTTCCCGCCCAAAATTACATCATGTGTTAAAATATTTTTGAATTTGGTTCCGGTCCGAATAACGCTGTTATTTCGTTATTTCTATACACAACGCTATACACACTTCGAGTGTGTGCAGAATTTTTGGTGTCCACATAACGACAGTAGCTTTCTGATTTGTGTATCGACGTGTGTGTATGTGAGACGGCACGTGGCGGATCCATCTAGGAGTTGGAATCCAAAAGCCTTCTCTGCTGTACATCATGGAGCAACGCTCTGCAGTTAGTTTAATAAGAGTTTTACGGCTCTGGCAACTTCTTACGGCCCCATGCACACAAGTTGATTGCATTCACAACAGCTCACTGCACGGCTTCATTTTACTTTTAAAGTAAAGGAAAACATCTCATGGTAAAAAAAAATTGTTTTAAAAAGATTAGAAAATAAAAACAGATGTTTACATTTTAAAACAAAAATTATCTACTTTTTAGAATACAGGCTAATGACTTTTATAGATTTGAGAATTCTATTTGGATCAACGACGGAGAACAGACCTTTTAATTTTGTGCATTTAAAATATTTACTTCGGGTCACTCCAAAGTCCAGACATTCTAATGTGTCTAATGGTTAAGTCTGTATCGCATCTGACACAGAGCGGTTTCTCATCTCAACGCATGAGATATCCATGGGTCACGGAAGCATATATCTAAATACGTAAACGAGTAAAAACTTCTTCGTCTGTTCTCGAAAGACCAGAAGATTTTCGTGGGTCCAGTGTCGACACTGTGAAGCTTGTTGGTAGTTGTTTGTTTTAGTTTTTATCCCACAGCCTGGAGATGTGGTGAAGGAAATAATTCTCAACAGCAATTTAACTAGATTTTCTATTTTCGGGTTTCAAAGTTTTAGATTGTCTAACAGCAGCAAGAAAATGGACATCCAGGTCAAAACCAGAGGCTTGAGACCGTACGCAGCTTCAAATACCAGCGTGCAATAGTGACAGACAATGGATCAAAACCAGAAGAGGGCAAACTTCAACAGCAATGACCAAGTTGAAAACCAGTTGGAAAGACAGAAATATCACAACCAGATCAAAGATCAGACTCATGCGTTCCTGGTCATGTCAGTATTTTTGTATGCATGTAAATTCTGGACCTTGAATGAAGACCTTGAAAGGAGGATCAAAGCTGTGGAGATGAGATGCTTCCGAAAAATCCTTAGTATCTCATTCAAAGATCACATCACAAATGATGAAGTCAAACAACGGATCAAAAATGCAATTGGACCATACCCTGGCCTTCTCACTTTGGTCAGGAAACGCAAAACGGCAAACAGTTATGGCATAGACACATCACCCGTTCATCCGGCCTTGCCAAGATGGTCTTGCAAGGCAGCGTACAGGGAAAAAGGAAAAAGGACAGACCGACGAAGAGTTGGAAGGACAACATCAAGGAATGGACAGGCCTGGACCTCAAAGACACGCTCTGAAGAGCGGAAGGAGTGTAGGAAGCTGGTGGTCAAATCTTCAAAAGCCCCGACGAACATCCACTCTTCGGGATAGGTGAAAGTGAAGTGAAGTAGATTATAGTTTTTATCCCATAGCTTGGAGATGTAGTTAAAGAAATAATTCTTAACTGCATTTTAACTATTTTCGAGTTAAAAAGTGTTAGATTGTCTAATAGCAGCAAAAACATCACAGTGGACATCCAGTCAACAATCAGAAGCTCGAGACCGTACGCAGCTTCAGATACCTACGTGCAATAGTGACAGACGAAGGACCAAAACCAGAAATACTCTCCAGAATAGGGCAAACTTCAGCAGCAATGACCAAGTAAAAAACCATTTGGAAAGACAGAAATATCACCATCAGATCAAAGATCAGACTTATTCGTTCCCTGGTCATGTCAGTATTTTTGTATGCATGTGAATCCTGGACCTTGAATACAGACCTTGAAAGAAGAAGGATCAAAGCTGTGGAGATGAGATACTTCCGAAAAGTCTTTAGTATCTCATAAAAAGATCACATCACAAATGATGAAGTCGAACAACGGATCAAAAATGCAATTGGACCATACCCTGACCTTCTCACTTTGGTCATAAAATGCATACTGCAATAGCATAGACACATCGTCCGTTCATCCGGCCTTACCAAGATGATCTTGCAAGGCAGCGTCCATGGAAAAAGGAGCAGAGACAGGCCGAAGGAGAGTTGGAAGGACAAAATCAGGCAACAAACAGGCCTGGACCTCAAAGACACGCTCAGGAAATCTGAA